TTCCAGGAAGAAAATCCCATCTGCTCTTCCAGTTTAAGGATCAATTGATAAATATGCTAATCGTATTCTTTCCTTCTTTTCAAAGCAAACGATATGACACCCAGAATCGGGTGGCATTTCCTTACCCTCAGGGCCTTGCAGTGCTTGTACCAGGCATCAGGATAGAGTGGAGCCATTTAGCTGTCTGATTTTTTAAATGAAATACGTAAAATTTTACTTAATTAATAAAAAAGCAGTGTTAGAGACTGTCTTCTATTAGTAAAAGTAACCATTTTTTAGGAGTAGGAACAACTAAGTTCGGGAATAATCCCTAGCTTCTTCTCCCTCTCGACGACCCTGCTTATCTTCCCTATCCGTGTCTAATTTTCGACACCTTGGAATCTTCCTAGGAGGAAGCGACGAACTTTCGAGTAGTTTCCATAGTAACCGTATCTACTCCGTACAGCGCGTGCCACCAGGATACAATCTCCCAAGTTAGAGATGAGAGGATGCAAATATCTCTAACTTTCACCAAATTAGCAAATATTTTACCTGTAATTTGTTACTGACGGAGTTTAAATATTGTCATAAATAATTATTTTTCTTTTTTTTTTAAATATTTATTTTCGACGGTCAAAATTTCAATTCAATAATTTAATTGAAAACAAGAGAATTCGGCCATTGCAAGTGGTTGGAAACCAAGTAAAACGAACAGAAAACGTTCAACAGATGTACCGACGAACGTTCCCTCGGCGATGACACTTTTATGAATCGCTTTGGAACAGATAATGAAGTGATTAATGAAGAAGCGGGTCGCGCTATCGTCTCTTTCCCTCCGATAATAAATGAAGTAATGACGGAACATCGCCAGAAGAAATATGTCGTCGCGACCTCTCCCATCTCACCATTTCATCGGTCGTTTTTCTTCGAGAAAATCCGTTACTCAACGACAAAACGAAGCATTCTAATTGGCTGAAAGATTACAAAAAAGTTAAATTAATTTCGTGTGGTGTTTTAGCTCGCGTGCTGTTGTGACGAAATAAATTCAAAGACGGTTCCTCTTGAGCGCGACGCGTCGACAGAATTGGTAGGGAGAGAGCGCACGCGATTTATGGTAAATTTCGATAATTTATATGGGAATTTTAGAATAATTACAGTTTGGAAAAAAAACCTTTCATCTGTAGGATACAAACTCTTAAAATAAACACAGTACAAACTAATTTATGTGTGACAGATATCGTGCATTGTTCTAACACACACACACACACACACACACACACACACCTGTCCGCGCTGCACGATCCAGATTGCGCGTACTCGCCCGAATTCACGATTTTTAAATTATTTCTGATTTTCCGTTTCGTGTGGCATTCATAAAACGTAGTTCCATTCAATTTCGTATATACAAAACAGTCTTTTCACACGAAACTATCAAAGTTACCGGGTTATAAAGCCATTGTTTTTCTTCAATTTATCGACGAGAGTGTATATAAATACATTCTCGAGTACAATTATTTCGATTTGCGTGATTTCGTAACCACGAAAATCCACGTTAAAGTTTTAAACGATTCAGTAACATACGAAATTAACCGCTTGCACCCGTCACTTCCGCCATATTGAATCGCGCCGCGTAAGAAAGAAACGATGGTAGATGAAACCAACACGATACTTTTCACCTTATTACTTTAAAATAACGAAAGAATTTCGATTAATCTTCACTTTTATATATCAACAACACTTTTTTACATAAAACAACTTAAGCTAAACCTAACCTCGAATTACCGCATTATTTATTTATTTATTTTTCCCCCGAAAACAGCGCGCGAACTCGCAGTTTAAATTATATTTTATATATGTAGGCCTATATTCGCATATATAAAATATAAGTTTTTAAATATATATNAAATCTTAGGGGCAGGAAGTCCTGTTTAAGCCATATATATATATATGTATATATATACATTTTTTATATTTAGTGAATATATAAATGTATTTACAGGTACACATATAGACATCGATATAATGGAATATTGTGTGATGTCCGCATAGGCCCAGTATATAAAGTATTTACATACTTTATAAAGTCGCGGGCTATAAAAATGTGGAAGACGTTACCATTTTGCTAATTCTCTCGAATTTCTAATCGACAGAGTCGGAAACGTCGCTAGTATCGTCGGAGGTCGGAAACGAAATCGGTCGTTCGCTGCCTTCCACCCACACTGCACCTCCATTTTTATTTATTTATTTATTATTGAAATATCTCTTCGTCCCGATTCGTTTTTTGACCGTCAAAATTCAGGAATTATTAAATTTCACAATGACAAAAATTAAAATATAACATTTATTTCTAAAACACATACAAACTCTTCGGATATAAAATGAGAATATAATACCCTCTCTAATTTCTTCGTTTACAACTATATTTTTTTTGGTTAATTTACATATTTTTATTTCTTTTAAATGATCTGAGTATCGCCGATTTCTAATATATTTTTTTCTATTCGATACATAAGATCTACAAGCCTATTTAGCTAAGGTGTTTTTTTTTTCAGAAAATGCCTATCCGGAGTGAAAAAATTAATTAACTAATTAATTAAATTCGAAAAACAATGAAAAATTGAATTAAAAACATAAGTCGTCCTCTGCCTGATAAGTAAGATTTAATGTGTAAACGATGATTGGTTAGAAACGTGGTTGTCTTTACGGCGATTGGTCGAAGAAAGAAACGACAGAATTTGATTAACTTTTCGATTTTTTTTCCTTAAATAATCGTGTCTTCGACCCTTGTCGTCACAATAGGTTAATTGTTACGTCAGATATTTACGTATTTAATATAAAACAACTATTTAAAGGAATAATTTTATTCTTTTATCTATTTACACTTTCCAAATGGCTGTGTATAAATATTCATTTCGACTTTTGTATCTGATAATAAAATAAGAAAATATTGACTTTTATTAATGATGCCGTTACGAAAATATATATATATCTTCGTCGCTATTTTATTGTTTTAAAAAAACACAAAGAATTATTCAATAAAACGAAAATTCGACTTATCTCAATACAATAGATTCTATCAGAGTAAAGTTTAATTGCATTTTTAATAAACAAGTAGCATTAAGAATTAAAAATTGTTATGCAAATTAGCAAGAATGGTGTATTTAATATAACAAAATATTAAAATCAGCTTTGTTTACATACGAAATATGTAAAAATTAATAATATTAATTGATAAGTACGCTAAATTTAAACGTTAGTAACGAGTGTAATAAAATAAGATCATTAAATCTTATAGTTTGAGATACAAAATTCACGAAATGTCATAATGTCTAATTTTAATATTCATTAATTTAAATAATTATATTCGAGTGTCATTAGAAATTTATTCATTGTCCCCATTAAAGTCTAAATCTAAACCACTAACGACAGAGTCGCTTTCGATTTAGAATACTAAAATGACATATGAGTATCGTCGCTCTTTTGTGGGGTTGAAAACGAATTCTCACCGAAATGGACTCTCTCTCTACACATCTTTTCTAAATGGTCCCGTAAATAGCCTCGTTGGAAAGGAAATTATTACATAAAATTAAATATGTATATACCAGCCCCCTATAACACTGTTGATTATTCCGTTTTATATGAATTCCATGTTATACGAGTCACTTAGATTTTACAAATACGTGTGCCGGGCTGTGAACGGCTCACGTATTTGTAAAATCTAAGTGACTCGTACAACATGGAATTCATATAAAACGGAATTATCTACAGTGTTATAGGGGGTCGACTGTACTCATGACTTCTCATACAGGTATGGTGCTTATCTAATTTAATAAGATAACACAATAATTTGAAACAGAATGGAAGAGATGTCAAACAGATCCCACAGTAATCTATCAATTGTTTCCACAAAATTCTGTCTATAATTAACCGTTTTGTTTGTCCTGTTATGGTTGAAAATTTTCGAAAGAAACACTTATCCATTGTATTTATTTCCTAGACTATAAAGTCCCAATTGAGGAACATCAGCAGCATTTCTACAATGTAGTACCACGTGTGGAGTGTAGTGCCATAGATTAAATTTAGCTTAACGATTCTTTTTCGCTGTCTCCGATCTATCTACAGTTAAGGGAATTTAAATAATGTAGGAACCTGCAAATTTTAGGGTGAAGTAGTTTCTACACACTTATTTTCGATATCCTGATAACAATTTTGAGCTCTGTGAGAAATACTCTTCGGGCTAAATTCTGCAATCTAAATATTATAAATACGCATATATTTATATATTATACGAATGAACAAAGCATGTGTTTTATATAGGTTTTATCGCTTGTATAATAATAGAAATCGAATGAAATACAGCGCATGTATCACTACTCCTGTGCTGTGTATAATGCATAATTTTTTAAATAAAATTATACGCTGCATAAAATGTTCTGCGTTATTGCAAAGTTTTTTTTTTGCATACTAGAAAAGAAGATGCGGAATCTCAATAAGAGTAGGCATTCCTAACTATCTGGGCAATATAATAATTAATTAAAATGATTGCTTATAAGACAAATACTTAGTGTAACTCATACGAATATACTGTGTTTATATATATGTATAAGTAAATAATATCTGTGACGTACAAAATGTCTAATCTGGAATTCCATTTAACGACGATAAAATCGAAATCTGTTGCCATTTATAGCCAGCATCTAAGGAAATCACGTTCTTGATAAATGGAAGTACAACTTATAAGTTAGATTATTTTCCGAGACAAATGATGATAATATTTTACACCTCTTTCGTAGTGTTACTTCGCACACGACATATGAGCTATTACTTCATTAAATCTTAATCTTCTATGTCACTTCTTGGGGATTTTTTTTTATCTTTACCTTTTCTTTGCTGAACACGAAACAGATGGAACACAAAATGCAAAGTTTGGAAATCATTTTCTTTTCAGCAGAATTTTAAAAAGAAAATGTTTTCCCTTTCAAATAAATATGAACGAAATTTATTCACTAAGAGTTGCATTAAGAATTTAAAAAAAAAAAACTAAAACAAAACACAGTTTTATAAATTTGCAAAATACCTTTCTTACATTAAAAAAAAAATAACCACATAATTATTTTTAAAATTTAAATATTTACTGTGAAAATCCTCAGTGTTTTCGGGTAAGAACTTCATGGATAATTTATAATCATCGTGGATCTTCAGGAAGTTAAGTTCTTGGATGAAATTCTTTGGTAATTACTTACGAAATTGTGGTAACCACGGGAATTTCTGTTGTCAAGGTGCATAAATAAGAAAATTCCCTCCATATCGAACAATTCGCGGTATTTCTGCTTATTCGTGATACATCACACACAAATCGGGGTTTAGCATCAATAGCGATTACCGAAGAAGATTCCACCAATCTGGAACTTCTTGTAAGTTATCGCTACTTATTTTTCCAATTCGATCGAGTGAGAATTGTGATAACCTACAGTCAACGCCACCCTACAATCAGTAAAGGAATATAACGGGAACACAATTTGCACCGAATGGATAGGCAGTGTGTGTAGAAGGCAGCGAGCCAGCTTTCCGAATGTTATTTGGCGCCCCACCTTCGGTAGCCGAGGCGAGAGAAACGGTATCTTTCAGGAGGAATTCATTGCCAATGCCGAAGTGTTAGAGGATGGGGAGAAGATACGTTAGAATCGTGCCGAAAACGAAAATACTAAAGAGAAGGATTCGAATCTGAAGAACGGGAGCTATTTTTTCGTTTTGCTTAAGAAATTCGAGGCTAACACGTCTTTTTTGCAAAGGCTCTCAGAGAAAAGAGAGCTGCGACTTTTGGCATTCGGGAGCCCTCAAAAGAAATTGAAGAAGGTCGATGCCAGTGACTACAACGAAAGCATCTTCGCCCCACCCGATCCGTTCGGCTCCTTTTTTTTGGGGGAGAGGGGGCCGAAACGAACGGCACCGATGATTCTCGACGCGAGGTGGCGCGACGGAAAGCATAGGTCCTCATCAATGCAGTTGGTTTGCAGTGCACCTGAAGAAGAAATCATCTTTAATAGTTACACTAGTTGTGGTGCCGACGACAAAAATATTTTCTAATTTACGAGGTCGTCCATTCGGCGGTCGACCGAATTTGGCAGTAGAATTACAATGGCCGAAATTTTTCGGAAAGCTGCGAAAATAGTTACTCTTTTCCTTATAAATTTTCCGACGAGATTCGGTACCCGGTTAAAATCGGATCGTCGCCGCTCCGCTCTGCGGGCGGGGATCGAAATCGCCGTCGACCGAGCGTGATGGCGCCGACGACACGCTTCGTTGTCCGTCCCGACACCTAGCGCCACTCGGCCGGATCATAATGTTCTCTTGTGGTGCATAGTGGCCATCGCCACCTCCGACAGATCCACGTCTATCGGCTCTCTCGTATCGTACAGCGTTGGTGCGTGCAGAATGATGCCGCAAGTTCCAACCAGAACGGCCACGGAAAAGATCCACAGAAACAGACGATCCAGTACCATGGCCACGTACTTCCAGTCTTCCTTCACCTGAAAAATAAACAAAAAAACTCTTATTACCTACACACCACGCATTTGTCTATAAGTAATTGGTTGTTTCATGCTGTTGGCTCACATTTCTAGCCACCCTTTTCAATGAACGATCTCTTTAAACTTTGAAGATAAGATAGAACAGGGATTGGCAATGTATTTGTAGAAAAAGGGGGCATTTACATATTACGTCCACACTGGAAAAGGGGAATATGTATTGATACAAAGGATTCTGAAGAATTTTCCTATTTAAATAAATTCAAACACTAGGCACCACCCATTGAAAGTTCGGTCTAGACTTAAAGGAATATCGAAGCAGCATTGCATCGACGAATCATTCAAAAAATTGCAACCGCTACGTGTAGTCAGATAAAGGTTTATATTTTATTGTTAAAGCCAAATACGTCACGTTTGCGTGCCCAATTCGTCACTTATGACGAATTGAGACAGAATTGCCCACCTACGTTATAATTTTTGTAACCTTACAACGTCGAACACGAGACACTTTATCTATTTTCTTTTATCGATTCAGTACTTTGTTCTATAATCTGCTTGCGTTGAAATACCATTTGTAAATCCATTGTTACAACAATACGATCAATAATAAACTAATGTAATTAAATAAAATATTTATATTACCCTATTTAATAGGAATTGTATTATATATATATTTATATTGAACTCCCAAAGTTTATGCCACTAAGAAAAGGCTTTTGTTATGTCTATCAAGGATTGGGCTGGAATGTTTTTCATTGGCATATCTCTCTCCCATCATTCAATTTCTTACACAAATTTTAAATTTGCAATCGCCTTTCAAGAAAATATATGGTAATTACAAAATACTATTGAATATTTATTACATTTTATTTTATAAACACATTATTCAAATGAGTTTACTTGTTTACTTACTAACACTAGAAATGTTTTTCTTTCTTTTTTTCCTGTTAAATCCGTATCATTCATCGTATATTCCGTCGCACGATTTTATATCTTAGTTTCAGATATAATACAATAATAATAATACGGTGCGATTCAATTTAAATTTTTCATTTTACCCAAGATAATAATTTAATATAAGATATTGCATTAAAAATAATCAATTTATTACAATATTTCGAAATTAGTTCATACATAGTTGGAAATTTAATTAAGAAAACATTTGTTACATACATACTGAACTTTTTGTGTGAAGAAAATCGATATTTACGATTCACATCGTTTAGTGTATGCGGATCCTTCCAGTCGAAGGAACGTGACATGGATATATTCGAGGATGCGTGTATATTCGAGGTCCTCCATCTCTCCTCTCATGGACAAAATTAAATAGCAATTGATAGTGGCGCGTAATTATACGGGTAAAAAAAGGCAATTGCCTGGTGCCCTCATCAACAGAAAGCCCCAAATCATTCTTATTACATTAGTAACAATATACATGAAAGTCCTAGATTGCCGGTGTGGCACAAACACAAAGCAGGACTTAAGAAACGAACGAGCAATCTCCAAAGTATTCCCACTGTACTTGGGGGTCTCCTAATTCAAATTTGTCTGAGCCCATGAAGCTATGACATACCACTGACAATCGTGTATACTAAAGCGATTAAAAGAAAGAAAAAGGAGAAAACATGTGAAAAATCGCAAGACAAAATCCTATTCTTTGCTATAGTGTTAAGTGACTATTCCATCAAAATTTCATGACGTGACAAATTGGAATTGTAGATAAAGATGTCGAAAGGTTCACCATGTCAACAAAAGCAACGAATGTGTGTATCTACCGGAGTGTTTTCATCGAGGAAAACGGTTGAGTGCCCGTATCGAACGAAATAACTGTTTGTGCTTCTAATCTAACAACAATATAAGAATGCAATCATGAAATCGACCGGATGAGAACTCCAGATTCGAATTCTTTGCGGATTTTAAAGACTTTTTCTTACGAAAACTTCAAACAGACGTTCGTTTACTCACTCTTCCCAATTCCATTGAGAGAACTGAAACAATTTCAATTGAGAATGTCACTACATTTCATCATTAAAATGTAATCTTTTTAATGTATGTAACATAGTAAATTTTATGAGTACAAATAAACGAATACAGTTTAAGTATTGTTTTAAGTTATTAAATATTGGAAACACTCTTAAATTTCGAATAACGACAGTTAACTGTTGAGGTGTTTTAAGGACTGGTCAGTCCTTTTTTTAATAACCAAAACGAAGGACAAGCTCATTCCGCTGATAAGTCCCACAAACAATACGATGCACTAACAAGAAATTCGATTTCATGCGAGATAATGAAATCTAATAATTAATAATATATGTTGATTTGCTAATGAAAAACTGATTAAAGAGGGTAAATTAACAATAAATTTGTTATAAGGTTATTCGAAAATCCATTAAAATGTCTGCCAAACAGACAGTAACTGACATGAATTTTATTGTATTTCGTGATACAATACTTATATAAATGGTGTCCGAAACAATTTCGCTCAACTATCTCTCATTATTTTACATTTTTCGTTATTCAGTGTGGTAAAAAAATAGCTTGATAAAGGATTTAATCAATGTACTTGTTGTTTTGGATGCAATAACGACTCTCGAACAACGAATGGAGCTTGTTTTCATTCCAGGATACTGAATGTTTTCTTAAATTTCGCAAGAACATTGCCAACAGCTTGATGTGAAGGCTGAAAAAGGACTCGATGGGGTCGAAGGAATTCTGGTGTTGTTCCGTGATTGTCTCCACACAATAAAGCATGCTCCACATGTTATTCGGAGTTATAGCGACTACTTGCGGTCATTATTGAGTCCTGAATAATAAGGACTACGATTACTTCCATTTGGCAAAGCGACTTTTCGGCAAGGCGACTTTTTGGCTTCATACTAATATCCTACATCATCATCTAAGTGTATTATAACAGGTAATCGTATAACCTTTTATACTCTTTATTTAATAAAACATTGTAAAAAATTCTAGGAACTTAAAAGCCCAAATACATCGTCCATAGTAACAGAAATATACATGAAATTATAAATACTAAAATAGATATGATAAATTAGAGGGATGCAATTACGTGCCTCGAAGATAAACAGGATATAGACACGCGTATCGACATTATACTGTAATATTTAACATGGGCAACACGCAATTACCCTATTAAAAACACATAAAATGAGTTACTACTGCTACAAAAATCTCGACTTTCAAACAAACAAAAGTTATACGAAATTACACGAATGTTTGAAAATAAGAATTGAATATTCTAATAAATACTTTGTACGAAAATCGTCTTAAAATCCTTTCAAAAAACCGTACAAAACATATGGAAGAAACTAAAATGTCATCATATAACCAGGAAAAAATAATGATTGGACATGAATTACAATGGATACAACACGACGGATTGCATGGACACAACCATGGACATGAATTAATGTAAATGTAAGAACGACCTTAATAATTCCTGTGCTTTTTGCAATGAGGTTTATATATTAGGGGCATTCATAATATTAAATTTTAATGGTTAAAGGTTGAGTGAGTGAAGAGATAGAGAGGCCAAGTGTGGTATCTCGAATGGGGTTGGAATTAATGAAGAATTTACTCGTTATTATTATTTAAATAAGAAAATTCTTATTTAAATAAGAAAATTCTTATTTAAATCGATACAATGGTATTTAAACGAGGCGTTCTGTTTCCCTGTTAAAATTGCGTTACAATATAAACAATTGTCCTTCGACCAGACACACTAACGATCCATATCTTATTGGTAATCCACGAGAATAGAAGTCTACTGTACAAAACTTCATCTATTTTATAAGAAAACGAATGCATCTCTAGAAGGACACTTACATTAATAATTTCAATTAAATTTATAGACAGCGTGTTGTGATTCTGGCAGTTTTAAACGATAATCAAACGAAACAATTGATTAATAACAATCACTGTGTTTGAATGATCAAAGTTGGTGGTGTTATATGTCGAATTCTGTTTCATATCATTTTAAGCCTGGCTGTACACGTAATAGATAAGGAAAAAAGGGCCCTTTCAATACCCACAGGGTGGAAACCTCAAAAGAAATCAAAATATATATATATATCTGTATTGTTTGTTTGTTGTATTACAACACGACACGTGAGCGATCTGCCGACAGTGCCTTTCAGGAGGATTTTCTATGGGAAACTGGTTTTTCAGGCGTTGCAAACGTGAATAAAACCCATAAAACTAAACGTGCCAACCCGTTGGTGAGGCGCGAACTCACCACCAATTACTAGTGTACAGTGGTTGTATCCATTTCGAACAGGCTGGTCGCGTGGAGTTTTCCAGGTTTTCTTCATATTAGTAACACTTAAATAGGAGCCAATTTCTCATAAAACAATACCCGAGAGACTAACCCAGTGGGAATCTACAATTCCCACTGTGTCTGTTCCGTCTTGAAATTTATAAATTGCAGCCCAATAATTATAATAGATGCTGTCTTATGCATCCTAATCCATAAGACCCCATCCCATCGCATATAATATTATTAAATATACCGTATATTTAACAAGAAATAATCATATTCTTAATAAAATAATAGAGAAAAAAACTTAATTGTAGTTCTTAAAAATTGAGTGACTTTCTAAATATATGAAGAAAATTCAACCGAATGAGGAATTAATTTTAAAGTAAATAAATCAATATTTATTATAAATTTATTTCCATACTCTAAAATTTCACCTAAATAGAATGCTAATGTGTTTTAATTGAAAATCACGGCACCGAATATAATCAAGTTATTCGAAACTTCCTCCCTGTATACACGTATACAGGAGTAGTGTTTTATATACACGTGTAAGAGGAAATTATACGTGAGAAAACGTGTCAACAATAAAACTTCATCGATTTATAATTAAACAGGACGAATCAATTAAACTTTTAACGTATATTAACAGAGCGTGGAGTGTCTCAAGTGGAGAGTTTCGACGTTAGTTTCTTCACCACTTCTTTAAGTAGTGTGAAGAGTGAATAAACCATTTTTCTTAAGTTTCGAAGTGGTCGAAATCCGAACGACGAGTTGGAAAATTGTTTTGTCACCGAATAAAAAAGAATTTACATTTATATGAGGTTGAAGTAAAAGAAGAAGTGAAGAGGAGCTTTATTTCGATTTCCTAAAATAGAGCGGAGGGAGTCAAAATTTCTCCATTTTTCATTCACAGTATTGAACTTTTCAAACTCAGCAACGAGTTTAAAAGAGAAAAATGGTTTTTAAGAGCTGACGTATTTATTAAATGATCAAACGGAAGACACAATTTAACCCATTTTTTCCGTATCTAACCGAATAATTTAATCCTATTACCAGTCGACCCCCCTATAATAACACTGTTGATTTTTCCGTTTTATATGAATTCCATGTTGTATGAGTCACTTAAATTTTACAAATACGTATGCCTGGCTGTGAATGGCTCACATATTTGTAAAATTTAAGTGACTCGTACAACATGGAATTCATATAAAACGGAAAAATCAACAGTGTTATGGGGGGGGTTGACTTGTAATTTTACAGGTGTTCGTTTAACGAGTCAAAATACAGCAATTCGAACCTCTAAAAAATACTGGAAATATTCTTATTATTTTTTTTTTCGTTTATAACTCGAAGAAATTCCGAAAGAGGAAGAAAAACTTTGGTAAAAATTTATGCCTTTCGCTTCGCACCTTTATCACCGATCGTTAACGACAGTTCTGGTCATTTAAGAAAATTTTCGAGAGACGTTAGAAACATTAAAATATGCGAGAGACGATAAGAGACGGTCTCCTACTTTAAAACGAAGGAAACGTTAATATCTTAATGACCACACTACTGATCCTAACCCCCTGGAGTTAAATATTTTCTAGTTACAATTCCGATTCCATCCAGTTTATGGAGATGGACTGTCCCTCCATTTTTACGCCTTTTAATACGTGATTTACATATTTATGTGTTAGTGTAGTGTTGGTACGTCGTAAGTGTATTTTTATCTTATCGAAATAGTGAAAAAGTCCTTCTCTAGAATTATCTTCTATAGAAATTCTTAACGATCGCGTAATTAAAAGGATATTAGGTAGGGTATACGTTATCGAGGTATATGGCAAAGAGATACTTTATCACGTTATTATATCTGAAAAGTCTCTCGTATTTTTCTTATATCTGAGAATATTTCGGTATTCTAGAAAATCTTTTTTTAATTAACATCTTCACCTCAATTTTATAACAATTTCTTTCTGATTTCTGCCCATTAAAAACTCTTGAACACTGGTGGGTTGGAGACGTGTAGTTTTCCTGATTTTATTCGTGACTTTCTATGAGAAACTGGCTTCTATTTAGGTGTTTATAACACCTAAATAAGGGCCAGTTTCTCATAGAAATAGAAACCAGTTTCTCATAGAAGCTATTTAGGTGTTATAAACACCTAAATAGGGGCCAGTTTTCTATAGAAAGTCATCTCGTGAGAATCTTTCCTCAACAGATCGCACTCGTGTCAGTTGTCGCATAAATAAATGAGAAATTAACAGAAGCCAAGATAGTTGTTGAGAGTGTGAAAAGTGGTACTTACGTTCATTTCTTCCTCGTATCTGCTGGTATGATCGGCGATGTAATGGACCGATTCCAGAGCTCTCTGCAACTCGGGACAGAAGTGAAGTTTGCCTCTCATGGAAGATCCCGCTTCTTCGCGAATGATTGTCTCCTCCTCTACGCGAGGGGCGGGACCGTGGATCTTGCAACCGTTGTAATGGCCCCCGTAGTCGGGATCGTACATTTGCTTGACGGGGCAGGTGTCCGCATGATGAAAGTTGTAGTCTTTCAACTCCGTTCCGTGGCAGGTGCGAATCATGACTTTGGGCGATTCCGACGAAGATCCCGAAGGACGACGCATGAGAAGTAGCCTGGGTAAGAGATGCATGAACACTCTTTTGACCCAAGGAGCCATACGGTGGGTGGAGGGAGTGCGGAAATGTACGTTGAGCACCACTACCGTCACGCAGATGGACAACGTGACTAGAATCATGGTGAAGAGCAAGTATTTACCCAGCAGCGGCACCACCAGAGAAGTCGGGGGGATTATTTCCGCCAGCAGCAGGAAGAACACCGTGAGAGAAAGCAGAATAGAAATGCTCAGGCTAACTTTTTCACCGCTGTCCGACGGTAGATAAAATACCAGCACCGTTAGAAAGGAGATCCCCATGCACGGTACGATTAAGTTGACGGTATAGAACAGAGTTTTTCTCCTCATGCTGATGTTAAAAGTGATGTCGATGTAAGGTTCTTCGCAGCAGGTGTAATACTTTTCGTTACGAACGGCGGGAACGTTCAGAATATCCCATTCCACGCTCAGATAGAATTCGGTCAGATCGATGCCTATTTCCACTTGATTGATGTCTTTGGCTTCGTCTTTGTGTCTGAGATCTACCTGAAAACCGGGAGTAACGCCAGGTCATCGGATCAGTACAGGAGAATCGCGAGACGGCAATACTTACTTTGAAGCCATCGTAGGTCCAGGATCCGAATTTCATCAGACAAGTCTGCTCGTCGAAGGGAAAGTATTCCACATCGATTTCGCAGGAACTCTTGTAGATGGCGGGCGGTTTCCATTGGATCATTCCGCTATGGTCCAACTGGGCCTTGGTTTCCAGAGTCACTTCGAAATTTCCATCGGCGCTGAAAAAGAAATTAAATTTCTAAATACAATGGATGAAATGAATAAAAACAAATGCTAGTTGCACGTTGCAACTCACGAAATAACTCGAATTTCAATACAAAATGCATTACTTAAAAGATTCAACGAGTATTTTTTAATTAGCAAAAATGCCATTAATTAATTTCGAGATTAAATAGTTATATATAAGATTTCATTTTGTTGTTTTCATACTCAAACGCATTTAACTCGTTTACTCTGACTTACTAAAGACTCTCTTTAAAGATTACGCTCGTTTTCCCCTTCTATAATAATAAAAAAAGAAGAAGGAGCGAAAGTATATAATTCGGGTAAATTCTTGGATACAAAAGACACGTCGGATGCTCGGCCATTAAGCAAATACGTGCGCTTATTGCCTGAGCGTGAATTACAAGGAAAATGTGAACTCTTGTCGACTGTCGCTTTTATTTTTACACACGTAACAAGAAAAATGAGCTCTTCCTTTATTAACTATGGTGACATTACTTCGTTCAACTTCACATTTCCATTTGTATCGATAAAATTCAATGTTTTATTCCAGTAAATAATGAGTGTTAATCATTTCTTTTACTCTAATGATCTCTAAAAGGATCTACGAAGAATTAAGACATACTAGAAGAATAATGCACCTGTAGAGGCAAAATTCTCAAAACTTTAATAGAAATTTTCATAATTTTACCTCTACGTGAAGAATTAGGTTCCTTTTTTTTCTCTCCACAGTGCCCATTAGGTTCCATTTTTCCTCTACAATGACTATTAGCGAACACTATACTGTTCAGTAACCATTAGAACCCATGTTTCTGGTGATCGATGCAGATAGACGAAACCGTAGAATAACAGTTGAATCTCTATAAAAAATTGTGTCACTTCCATAAGAAATCATTATTAAAAACCTATCGAAACTATAAATAGGAAAAATTTCTATACGAAATAGAAATTCTTTCGCCTATTATCATGTAATTGCGAATTTAAAACGAAGCAAAGAAACTTCAACTTCCTTTCTTCTTCTTTGTTACCATCCTCTTAAGAATCACACCTATTCGCATATTGTTTTCGGCATCTGTTCCTCGACTTAATTAAAAATTTTACTCCCGTTTTCGCTCGAATAATCGATTCTTCATTCAAATTTACACAACCGCAAAACATAAAACACACACACAAAAAAAAAAAAATCCCCAAGAAAATTTATGACAAAGAACGTAAGAAACTTAAGAATTTCTATTCATATCCATGCCAAACAATCGAAAATTTAAATTTTTATGCGGCGAAAATTGTAATTTACGTTAATAAATCGCATAATTACATGAATTTTTTTTTTGTTTCCTGCTTTCGGGCTTTCGGGCTTTATTTTTTTGGTGGGTCATCGAACGTCGATCGTTATATCGAAAATCGATGGGATCGTTCGAGTGGAGATTTTCTAGAAGTGGTATTTCTCGAACGATAATTTATCAAATTTCTTATCAAAAATTTGACGTAAAGCATCAAATTTACTCACGTGTAGAATAGAAGTAAACGTTAGAAGTGGGGTCGAAGAATGAGCGTGATACCAAAACACACGTACATTTGTACAGAAAACTTTATCCCCTTTTATAACGCCAATCGTATATTTGCTTTATTTGGAGAAAATAAAGTATCTTACGCTTTAATATTTATTTAAATTTTAACTTTATTGAAAATTATTTACTCAACAATTTTCTCAACGATTCGACGTCACGAATGTTTCATTTTTTTTCCAGTGCACGCAGTCTAATCGTTAACCTTATTACTCGCATTAAATATACCAGAAGAATTAGGAAAATATTCTACAATAGAATCAGAATTCAATTGTGTATAATGTAGAAGATGTGACACAGAATATCCCTTTAAAACTTCATGCGCCTTTTTTCCAAACAGAAAGAATTCCAGTTAAGTGTTTCTAAAGAATTCTTAAAAATTGAATTAAAGGTAATATTGCGGATGGAAAAGTAAAGAAATAACAATAGTTAATTTTGTTTTCTTTTGTAAACTGCTAAAAATATTTCCTCAAGTCTTGTTATTTTAAAGGAAATGGTCATTGCATTGTGTGGAAGATGAAGATGCTCGGATGCAGAAAATCAATTAAGACATTGAAAATATTAGGAAAACCGGCGATTGTCTTCTCACGAAAATAATTTTCGAGATAGAAACTTCAAAGTTTATTTTCAATTTTCGTATAAGATAAGAAAATTAATATCGTTACACTATGGCAATAGCCAAGAGGTATTTATTAAGTAATATGTCGTGGAGATCGAAACAATTCATTATTTAGTCTCTGAGGATTTTCTTAGTTTCCTTATAAATTCTTACATTTTTCTCTCCATTTCTTTTTAGTTTTATTATTTCGAAAATATTTCATTTGTTCCAGTTAAAAAAGACAGAAAATCTGTGAAGGATGAACAGAATTTCAAGAGGAAAATCATCACTCGCGTACGAAATATTCTACGATATAATATGTAAATCGAAACACTTCGAATGGGGATTTTGATTCGTGTCCGAGATAGAAGCGAATATTCTATCTCCGGTAGAAGTTCTCAGGCGGAGAAATGTACTTACTTGTTATACAAAACGATGTCAGGTCTCCAGATGTGATCGGAAGGCACGTGCAGCATATCTACCCCGCCGTACTCTTTCGGTTCCCAAGTCAATTTGTAGTCGTGCCAGTACTGAAACAGAAAGATAAGTGAATACCAGTCGATTTTTCTTTTCTCCATTCAGTGTTGTATACGGAACGTTCTTACCTGTTCCACCCATAAATTGGTCGTCATGATTTGGTTCTTCAAGTTCTGAAAACATACGATATTTTTTTTGTTAGAAATGTACTGGCAGCAACACGGATATCGTCACATATTTATATGTTAAGTGATTTTAACTTGAGTCTTATCCCAAGAAATTCCTAATGAGGAACATGTCTCCAGGAATTCCTAGAGATGTGTTCCTCATTAGGAATTTCTTGGGATAAGGCAATTGTCAAGGGTGGTGATCCTCAAGTACTGATGAGTGTTTAATGAACACAACCCTTGACAATTGTGATTCACGTTACAGAAGTATTATTTAATTAAAGTCATCTGATCTATCTCTCAAGCTTTTTTCATATTTGGCACGTTTAATAGTAATAATTAAATTATAATTTTGAAGATTTTTCAAGTGCCCATCCCTAACCGCCCAAATGTGGGCTTGAGGGTTTGAATAAAAGGCCCTGTTACTGCCCACAAGGCGAAACGATTCTAAGAGAAAAACGTTATTTCGAGAGGGAAACCTATTTTGAAATATAATGTGTTTTTGTTAAAGTAAAATGCTCCAGAAAATAAACAAAAAGTGTTTCTAGTTTTCGGGTAGACAAATATATCTTTCGTTAAGAAATGACAAATGAATGATATCAAAATAGAAACGTGCCGGTCTGCCAAACGAGTGATAGTCCAGACGGAACACTCGAAATTCTGGAAGAGAAACGGAACGAGGTGCAAAAGGTCACTTGCTATACGTGCCTCACCACTCGAACGATGATTTAGAGGAGAGAAGTGAAGTGGAAATGGCTCTCTCTACCTTTAACAAATTGATATCCGTGAAGAAAATGGAAAAATTCTTAGAGGCACCACAATCGAATAGATCATTTTAAATCATAAATTAGGCAATTTTAGGTTAATAAATATAAACATTTTTTCGATCAAACTGTGGAAGGAGAAGAAATTTATTCTTTTTAGCCAAAAATATCACCGAAATTTATATAACCGCGAGGAATGAAAACGTTTGTGGAGTAAGAAAACATCTTTCAACGTTTACTAAAGTCTCCAGGCGACTAACAATATTAAAATTGATTCGGAACGATTACTTTCATTCGGAAATCGATTATAAGTGACGAAGAATTCGGAATCGATGCCCAATCGATTTTAATAATGTTTTGCGGTTGTATGACGGATAGAAAGTAACGGAAAACGTTTTTATAGTCAAACGACTCAGAATTCTATTATAAGTGTACATCAGATACGACGTATGTAAACAATAACAATTCTCGTCTCACAATTTGGTAGTCAGCACTTACCTGGATGTTATACACGAGAGGGGACGTATGGCGAACGGTCAAAAATTGACCCCCCAAATTTTTACATTTTTGGACTCGGAGGACCTCGAAACATTCAGAAATGCAAAAATAATCGAGAGTTTTTTTTCTATAATGTGTGTGAGAGGCACAATTTTGTTCACCAGTTTGAAGCTTAATAACTCGCGTGCCTTTTGTAGAAAGTTTATAAAATTTTGCATGGAGGTTCAGGTGTTAGGGGCATCGATGCTGTTAAAATTTGGTGGTTAAAGATCAAGAGGGTAAGAAATACAGTCATGTGTCATATCTCGATTTTACTCGGTATCAGCATTTACAATTGTTTTTCTTTTTGTAAAACTCGTCTCTGTCTTTAAAAATTAAGCTTTTTATCACTTTATGTTAATTAATAATATAAAAAGTTTTTAAATTAAATCTCATAACAGATGGAGCCACAAAACATTTTAACTTTTTTACCCAGAAAGTTACGCAACACTTGTGATTTTCATATTATTAAATTGCAATCCACGTCGATCTAGGAAGAAAAGAATTAAAAAATTACCAATTATAGAAGCTGGAAAAACCTCTATCACATCAGTGGCTCGTTATTATAAATGTTTTTACATTTTTCTATTGCTACGTATTCGCGGGAGAGGACGTAAATCTTCATTTGAAAGATGAATTTAACATATTGTAACCTGGAACGAAAGCGACTACAAAAAAAATCTCTTTAAATATTCACCAGGAGAGAGTGGATAGACGAGTGATAAACCAGGCTTATTGGAAAATTTCACTTTACGTTATTTACCCCCTATCTACTAGCCACACTACCAAATAATCTACCAAAAAAGTTCTTATATTTCTATTTTAGTAAATTTCAACGCATTTTCTTTGATTAAGAAAAGGGAAATCTCAGTCTCTACCCGATTTCATTGGGGTGGACGTTGTATCGACCGTATTACTAAACCACGAATTTCTATAAATTTTGCGTAAATATTATGGACGTCAGTTATAATTATCGATCGTCGATAAACCTTTTAAATTTCACAATATATCAAATATTGCGTTACAGTGGTTAATAATAGGAATTCTCATCGATAAAGGAATTTACTCGTGTACAGTAGAGTTGTATCGAATGCAATTTTCCTGTATGAAATGGGAGGTCGAATATTTATAAAGACATTTATTATAGTAAATCACGAGAAGATGCGGATCGATAATAATTTTATCGATATTTAATTTATCTGTAAATCTCTACCAGATATTAAATTTTAACAGTGATTTTTTTCTGTATATTTTTTTAGAGGAGGGAGGAGGGTTTTTTTTGTTGTTTCGTTTTAAAGTGACGTGTCGACGTTTACTCGCATCCAATGGGTTGTTAGATAACAATCGATGAATTCTCCTCGTCGATGCATCCACCCGACCGTTGTTATTTCGGTTGTTATGTCACCGATCGAGTCCCACCCACTTGTCGTTCGCTCGACTGACCCCATCCCACCCGAAATACGTATTTCCCTGTAACACCTGACAACTTGATTGTCCGGCTGTCTTTAAATTGTCGTGTCTCTACCGAAAGAAATTTAATCAATCAAATCTACAATTGCTGGAAGTTACAAAACTTCAAATTCAATTCCGTGCTACTTCCATCCCTTTGTACTCTTGTAACATTTCAAGATGTGCAATTTTAATTGTTCTCCTTAATAATAATAATAATAAAATACAGCATATAAGCAGCATTGAAATCAACAAATCTTCAGAGTAAAGCCTCCTTCAGAAGATTATACAACAAACACCAGATCTTGTGTACAGAAATGTATACGTCACACTTTCTGTAGAATAGTTCGAGCATTGCTATTCGTTTTCATATGCGTAACGGGAAATATGGCTCAATAATAACGTTCTATTGATAGTAATCGCTGAGTAACCAGCGTGAATGGCAGAAAGCGATTAACGACCGTAATTAAGGGCATTCTATACAAAATCGAAAACGATAACGCTTTAGTAATTAACCACGGATTACATTTATCAATTTATCTCGCCATTTTCCAACCGGTGGATCGCGTATCATTATTCCTAAACGAGTATTGTGACGTAGATTACGTAGAACACGATAAAACATTTTAACGTCCCCTTCTTCTCTAGCGATTTGCAAAAAAATCAATCACTTCAGGTAAGAAGAATCGAATAAATCCGAGTTAGACACGTTATATTTATTCTAATAACTAACATCGATTAAGGCCAGTAATATTTATAACCCGTCAATAGCGTTATCCAATTATCCGTATGCTTAGCATAATTCTCTAAAGTAAATATTTGCAACGTATTATATCGCATTTACATTCGTGTTTACCGAGATCGCTTTCACTCTTTAAAACGTTCGAGTGAAGTTTGAACTCTATTAATTAACTTCGTCTATTTGTTTGTTTCCTTTTGTTTATCTAAAGGGATAATTAAAAACGTCATCGATCCATTATTATCCCCTCGAAATGCATTTTTTGTGCCCTTTTTTTTGGCATTTCAGGTGCCATAACGTTAAAATGCCAAACCGAAAACAGAACTTCTCTATGTATTCTATCGAATAGTCAACCCCTTACACAGTGTCGATCCATTATTTTTTGTATTCTTATAAAGATTATAATAATTCCTTCCCAGAATTTATTAATTGAAAGCCAGATTTTACGTAATAAAATTGGGTATTATGAATCTGTATAACGTTGGTGACATTTATGTGCATTGTATAATTGAAATGATGAACTTCGTATGTTCATTAAACTCAAATTTCGTACTTAATTATTATAATAACCCCGTGGAGTTTTCAATGAATTTTAATGGAATTTTATAATTACTGATTGAAAATTCTATTAAAGACTAGTGAAAAATTAGACAGCTTATTTATAACGTTTTAAACTGATGTTAATTATTATCCTTCATTGTAATAAAATTCGAAATTGAAACCATTAGAAATTGTCATAATGTCTGTAATAATGTGAATTAATAAGAATTTCAAGCAATATTATATAGGTTATTCATCAAAAAAGGGGGTAACTTATCGCATCAAGTTCTTGGCGTAACACTTATTTTCCGAAAATTTCTTATTAAAATCTATTTATTTAGCTATAGGTACGATTTGTTATACTGTTAAATGACAATTCGTTCTTCTATTTCTTTTCTGTACCATTTCTTTCTGGAATTCTGGGATTACTGTGTCATTCTTTTTCACTCTTTACTATCCACCGATCGCTCTTTACTCCCAATCCACACTTCACCATACCAATTGTTTTTTTTTACCATTGTTTTGTACCAATTGCCAAAATTGGGAAGTAACGAAACAAAACTTTGTTGTGCCAAATATAGAAACAAAAGTGTTAGACTTCTGTTCAAATTGATATTAATGTTAAAAAGAGTAGAGTGATGGGATAAGGCAATGCAAGACAAGAAAGAGTACCTCCCTCTATAACTTTCTATAAGAAATTTCCTATATTTAAGTGTTAAACACGCAAAGAAAACTTAGAAAATTACATCCTATTGGTGAGGCGCAAAACCAGAACCATTGTTTGGTTGTCTCATCCAACAATGGTCGTGCATTGGGATTTGATCCCGGGTACCTCAGAGCGGGTGACTGACTTAATAACTAACTAGGCCATTAGGATAGCCTGTATTATAGTAAATAATAGAAAAAAATCGCACTTCCAACCAGGTATATAAACAATACCTTTTGATACTCCGTCTAGCAGTCGTTCCTTCAACTAATACTAGCAATAGGGAATACATCACGTATCATACTGTATTTGATTTCCTACCGCGCATTATTCCTTATTTAATTATTTCCTTATTAATTAATAAAAATAGAAATATTCTTATAAGGAAAAAAGTTGTTTATCCGCAACGAAAAATGATATACAGTAATTATATATCTTTAAAGTCAAAGAAGAAATGTAAAATCAAATTTCCATTGTAATTAATTAAAAGATAATTGACTAATTGAATTATCTTACATCGATAAATGTCTGGAATTATATATATATATTTTTTTCTATGTAATTCTAGTGTTTGAATTACGAACTTCTCTTAATTCAGTAACGAAATACCCAAAAGAGTAAGCTCCTTTGTATCGATATACCAGCACAAAAATGTATTATAAATATTATTTACACAATTCTATAAGTGATACGTAAGTTTCTAGAGAAGAAAATCGATAATTATTCTTGAATACACGTTAGGTTTTTTCCTGTCGTCCGGATAATTCCGGACGTATCATCAATACTGTCGCAATAATCCGAACTAATTGAGATTTAGATTAACGAGTGTATTATACGCTTTAAGGCCATTTTTTTTAATGTTGTAAGTACTTTACAGGAGCAAATACAAGTAAAAAATTGTTATTAAATTAAATAGAATTATAGAAGGAATAAGCGGTAATGTTTACAACACGTGAGCTGCGAGCGTACAGTTGATAAGTCCATTATTTTAATTAGAAGAAAGGGAGAAGATGTTCGAATTAACGCGACCGTACTGTATTAACTGATAGAAATTTACATAATTTTAATGTAGCACATTAAACTGGATATAATAAAGCTTAGTTTTATTAAATATAATCGTAAGTACTCCTCTTTATTATAATTTTGAATAGCTTTGAGGGATATCGCTTGGTAAATTTTATCAAAAATATTCCAGATCGTGTCCATTTTTCACAATCTATCCTCTCACTTGTCATCATTATTCTCGTTATTACCGTAAAGTAACAGTTTAAAGGTAAGGCATTCTTTATTAAGTTAGAATTTTCTCCAATATTTTATACAAAAAAATACAAAAAAAAAATGCACAAAATTCTTGGAAATACAATATTCTACGGGTATTTTGCATTATTTTTCGATCTTTATTATCTAAATTCGGTTCGATTGTTGTTAGAATTCCGTTGGAGTACGAAATACAGTCTCGAACCGAACATCTGTTCCCATTCAAATTCGAACAAATAACTTTCTTTTTTCTACTAAAAATGCAGAAATATAATGGAACTTTCTTTGTCTCTTTGCATTTTCGATCAAAGTTAGTTGTCGATTGGAGAAAATGCCAAAAAAATGGGGTGGGAAGAGGGAACGAAAGCTGACTTACCACTTCGATCAACTGCGAAAGCTTGAGTTTGATGTGGACGGTTAACGGTTCGGTGACGTTGACCACCGGGCGCACCAACTTGTTGTATCGAGATATCAGATCGTCATACAGCCTCTTGGCGTCCGGATTGGCCAGGGTATCTGCAAACCAAGCAATTATCTTACTTTTAATCCATCAAAATCTTATATTAAGAAAGTTACCAATCATCTAATTATATAATTTAAATTACCGTCGATTAAGAAATTCTAATTCCCAACTTAATTTTCGCGTAAAGATATAAAATATATCCATTCTATTACATTATTTCCGGTAATAAAACCATCGAAAAGTAGACACATTACAAGGTCTTTATGGAGGAGGCACTAAGAATACGTTCCTTGTGAGTTTTAATTTGTTTTATAACCGGAACGTTTCAAAAATATTTAAGTAAATTACCTGAAAGCCAAAGTAAGAATGATTATTACGGATTATTCATCTGCTTTTATGTTTCCTAGTGGCCATCTATCGTGTCACTTCTAAGCATCACGTCTGCCATGTTATTATTATTTTTTTAACATTATGCATTGTATTAATTATAATTACATGCTAATTGCGATCTAGATTTCGGTAGGAATGTTGATGACCATTCCCAATATGTAAGTAATGACGGTGTTCCCTCACCAAAGGCCGAACCCGTGACAGGTGTAATTCTAACTCCACCCTGTTTCACTAAAAGGGTCTATTATGGGTTCAACCACGCTTATAATGGATCCAAATATCTGATACAGACCACCTCAATTAGGTCCAGGGGGGATTTTGACCCGTGGGAATTCGATCCAGGGCCACTAAGCGGTAGACTAACACCTTAACCACTCGGCCACATAATGGTCAATGGGTTTAATTAGAAACGTCCTCTTAATGGCTGCAAGGTGGAAGGATTTAACATGAAAAAAAAGTTTAATTAAATTATTTTTATATTAAGTCTTCGCATATAATCGAAATGCTGTTTATTTATTATTCATTAATTTAATTAATTGCTTGGAGCAAATTGACTGTTTTCGCTTTTTTTTTTTTTCACGATGCAACGTTTTAAAAACTTGTGTTTGCGTATTACCGAAATTAATTTAATGAAATAGCAAACATGGCTTTAAAATTATAATTTATTAATGCTTTGTGATATGTTAACAATACTTTTAAACAGTCCAATCTTTAGAAAGGTTGTCAATGTTATTGACTAATAATTTCTACCATTATTTTTAACTTCAGAATGGTCTGGGAGATAATGAGTGGGGCCATATCTCCCGAACTAATGAACCGATTTTCCTGAAATTTTCTAGAAACATTTTCCTCTAATACCCAAATATACCTGCAAAATTTCAGGAAGTTTCGACAAAAGGCACGAGAGTTATTGGGCTTCAAATTGGGTGAACTAAATTTGTTCCCCCAATATAACACTTTAACCCCCATACATACAGAAATAAAACCACCAATATTTTTTATTTCTCGATGTTTTAATAACCCCGATTCCCCAAAAATCTTGGGGGTCATTTTTTGGAATCATATACCATCGTCAGTTAGTGTGATATTCTAAATTTATACAGTAAAACCTGTTTAAAACGGAACTTTAATAAAACAGAAACCTATCTAAACGGTAAGAATTCTTCGAAATAACGATTTTCTGTGTTAAAAAAGAACCTGTATAAAACGGAAACTTGCCAAATGGGAATATTTAACGTAACGATTCTTTGTTTAATGAATTGTTTACGATGCTGTGTGACGTACAGTACACGCATTCGAAGACGTGTACGTCGAATACGTGCTTAGTTACGTCGTTGAATTCAGAATAAATTACGTATCCTATCACGAAACGTTGTCTTATTTGTTAATTATATATTTGGGGTCGACGGACCCATTCGATCTACATCGAGTAAACACGTATTTTATTCGTTAAATGTATATTTTTACGTTTCTAATTCGAAACAAAACAATCGTGATAAGGGGGTAACGAAAATGATACGTGAACACAAGCAAATATTGTCTATTGTACAGAAAGTTTATTGGATGTTAGATGCTGGAATAGGGAGGGATAAGAGTGATGAGGATGAGCATCACCACCGTATACGTTACTACAGTACATTTACACACTCATCTCAAGATTAAAGTATATATTTGGATTAGATAGATGAAAAATCGAGATCAGATATGGAAAAGATTATTAAATAAATGCAACAATTCTTAACAGTATAACGAAGATGCAAGTGTGGAAATGGAAAATTATCTTTCGATCGTTCGATACGCGATGGATCCAGCTCACGTGCCTTTATCGATTATAGTTTTTCGCCAAGGGGTTCAGCCAATTCGCAGATATCCCACTGAATGACATGACTTTCACTAACTAAATTACCGTTCCATATTATGCAGTCTGTGGCAGTAAACAAAAAGAATTGAGGTTATAGAGGTTCGAATTATATATTACAAGGCTTATTTTTCTATTGATCTATTAATTATTTCTTCGAGATTTTTAACGTACTAACTCTACAAGTATTTTTATGGAGAGAACACTTCTGATACACTTTTTTATTTATAAAAGTACAGTACCTCAGTAACGTTCGATTATATCATTCGTGCCCATTTTAAGTGGAACACCCAGCATAAAGAAATATTATTCGGCTGTCCCATTTATAATTTATCAATAATTAATTTGTTTACAAACGAATTTCGTGTTTAAATTTGGTTAAGTTCTTATAGAAATCAATTGCAATTCCTCCGTTACCAACAAGAAAAGTTTATATTAAATGTCACCATCGAAATTTAAATCGTGAATTTATGTAGAAGAGAACAAATATATGGTGGAACGTCATAAATTTAAAATTTCTAACCATAAAATAAGGTGATGCACGAAGATTTCTTCCATCAAACGAAAAGAAAAACATGTACCTTTACTTGGTATCGTCGAAGCCAAGCGTACTTTAGAGGATCACGGCTGGTGAAGTTTCATAAACGAGCTTTGATCCTTTATAAATACCTTACAAAACGTCATATTTGTGTTGTAACAACGATAACAAAACACGAATAAATTTTTCTGTAGCGTGCGAATTTGATTGGCACTCTCAAATGTGCCATTTTAGTCCGTAGATAAAACGCTTCTTGTGATTCGAATGAATGGAAATGCTTCCTCCAAATTTTAAAAGAAAATTTTGTAAAGAGAAAAATAAGTGGAAGGGGGGGGTTTGAAAATTTTATATACTATAACGCGAAGTCAACTCTGTACATTCTTTATCGAAGTAGATTACAAAAATATAGAAGATATGGCTCACTTTTACTTTATAAAAATAAATATTCTTTTAATCTTTTCTTTTCCGTGCCAACTTCTTTCAAGTCTATTTTTTTTTATCAATATAAAATGGCTTTAAAAAAACTACATCTCGAAGAAAAGATATTAAAGATACACTGTGTGTAGGCCTGTTCTGAAAGGTCACAATATACAATAAGCCTTCATTTATCTAAAAATTCTATATTCTTTATCGTACCGTATACTTTTTCTATGGACTTTTTAAATATTTGAGTGTATAAGTAAGCGTATATCTTACTTTTAAAACGTATCTTTCGGTGTTAAAAATGTTAAAAAGTACTTTAAAATGTTTTTTTTTTTTGTAGAGAACCAACAAAGGCAACTCGCCATCTTTTGATCGCTTCAAAATATCGATCTTGACCACATCGAAGAAGATCGATAAACGAGTTCGATCGCTGTTCGACCGTCTCGTTCGACAAGATGCACTACAATTAAATTTTTACAATCGATATTCGAGAATTTAAACTCTCCAAAACCATCCACAGTGGAGATCGGATGGATCCTTAGAGATTTTCGGAATATTGTATTTTTGTTTCAATAGAAATCTTCTTCTTCTTTAAGAAAGAAATTTTCAATTTTCGAAATAGTAGCGAATCAGAAATCAATATATAAAATATGATATACGTAAAATCGAGGTAACGAGTTAAATCTGATTTGAAGCGTAAATGCACCATAGAGGAATCAAAGTGAAAGCGATTCCTTTCCATTATCTTCTCCACTGAAGGCCTCGATGGAGACGAATAAAGATAAAAAAGGTACAAAAATGTTTTCGGGATTTTTACTTTTGTTGACAGAACAATACGTTAGAGGGAAGGGAATTGAATGACGTGTTGACAACCAATAACAGGAAACGATTTGGATATCGAGCCGCAAACGTCAATCTTATCGATGGCCTTCGAACGAATATTCGCGTGCTTTTACGTGATGAAGATTGATGAAAGACAATAAAATATCACTAAATGAAAGGATGCACTACTAAAGAATGCCAATGTGTCATATGCATAAGTTGCGAGGGATCGATCGATTGTTTTAATATAAAGAGGAATCCGGGTTCGATCCGATCAACACTGTGTGGATTTGTTGATCCGTTTTTACAATGGCGCATTATCCTACGGGAAAAAAAGGGCATTTGTCTGTGTGTCCCCATCAACAGGGTGCCCCGAAAGAATATTTTATAAAAAAAATATTTCTTAAATAACTTCCCTCGAAGAAAAATGACTAAAGTCAATTCTTAATTTTAATTTGACTGGACTCTATCAAGCTATACGTTATTTCTATATATTTATATATATATATTTCGAAGAACTTTGGCTTCTCTTTCCTTTTTAAACAACGTATTCTTTCTAACTTGATTTCGTGTAATAGGCTATAAGTGTTACTTTAAGGCATTGTTCGACTATTTTATTTCTCTCCATTCTTGAAATTGCTTTCTCTTATTGGCTGTCGTCTTGTCAATCACGCTTTCTACAAATAAAAAAAAAAGGAAAACTTTTAATGCATTTTTTCGAGGAAAAAAAACCTCTTTATTTTCTACGTTTCTTCTCACCCATTTATTCCGGTTTTTGTCACGTGTACACACGAAAAAAGTCGGAATTGTAAATCCTCCCATCAACATTCTTAACATTAAGATTTGATTTATTTGTAAACGGTAAGGCGATCTGCCGAGGAGGAATGCCTCAGGGAAGACTTTCTAAGGGAAACTTGCCCCTGTTTAGGTGTTTTATGGGAAACTGTCACCTGTTTAGTTAGAAACACAAAGAAAACCTAGAAATTTAACAGAAACTGATCTCTATTTAGGCATTTTTATAG